ACGATATTTTTATATACTTACATATACGTAAATTATTATTTAATCATGCAAAAGATGCAACATAAATTAGAAATTAAATTTTAAATTATAAATTAGGTATTATCATCGAGTAATAGGTTAAATGACAGTTATGTATTCTTTTTTATTTCAGTTGGTGGACTTCGTTGAACATGATATAACAATGTATCCTCCAAGCATCAAAATAAAATTACGTTCTGCTATTTCTACCGCGGAAACCAACTTATTGTGGTACAAAAATAACGGCTACAAAATTAGACAATGGATAATAAGTCATAAGCTCGAGTCACAAAATCAGACAGTTATACAAGGATACAATAACTGAACATTGTTTTTACAACTCTTTTTGTTTTATTATCACGCGCGCATCTATTACGAAAGATTATATTTAACAAAACTTATAATTTAATAAAGATTATTCGTTAGCCTCCTATCATGCATGCAGAATAGAATAAAATCTATGCTTTATGATTTAATGACTTGTTCTTTCTTAAGCTAAGATCAACCAATTTATATTTTTCAAAATGGTACCATATTCTCATACAATTCAATGGTAGATTACTTTGTGATTTCTTCGTATTCCATTTTGAGTTAGTTGTGTACAGATGAATCTTGGCCCAATATTTTGGTGCCGCAACAAATTCTATCAAAAATCAATGGTAAGTATGCAATATTAAACATCGGTTCACTCATGAATCGACACCAAAAGAGAAACGAATAATTTTCAATAATTGAAAATTATTAAACATTATACGATATTCTTCTGTAACCAATTGTAAATTTGTCCGTGATACTTATCAAGCCATCGTATGTTGGATTCTACTTGCTCTATCGCTTGTAGTATCGTTCGTCTTGCGGAACCAAGTTCATCTAGATGTTTTCTCATAAACTCTTTGATCTAAAAAATAACATAAAAATGCATATACTACAAAATTACATTTTCTCAATAGAGTTATGAGACTTTTAAGTTAATTACACATGTTCATCCCTTTATTGAATTTATCAAAGGACAATATTAATGTTTTCCATATAAATTATTCCCAAGTTTGTCTTTAACTTCACTATCACTTTCAAAATATATAATTACTTTTCAACTTACGTCTTTCAATTTGTATTTTGTATTTAATCTTTTTGTTGCCGACTTTATGATTTCCTTGAGACTTGATATTCCCAAACTAGAAATAATAACAGATTTACTTTATATTAAACTTTCAAATAAAATATAATTTCACCTAAAACAAAGATCTATAATAGAAAAAATCATAGAAATCTCCGATCTACCCTATATAGTTGCAAAGGTTTAATTAACATTTCTAATTAATAATACTTTTAAGTTTATTACCCGAAAGTAACATATTTATATATAAAAAAGTAATGACAGCTTACTATTTCTTAATATGCGCCCAATTGTTAATGAAATAATCAAATATGAGTGACTCTCCGGCAATGTTGTTGGCGACCGATGCGAAAACTCCGGTGGCATCTTGCTTCCTGATCCCTGAATCTTCCGTAACGGCCCAATCTAACAATCGATTTAACAGCCACATCTCTCTTGTACAGGCTAATGCCTGCAAGAGCAGATTCTTCTCCGATCCTACATTAGATTTTTGATATCGCTGCCAAACAAATTCCCATTCGCCTCGTCCACCCATTCGAATAGCCGTGCAATAAATCACGCTCCTTAAGTTCGGCGAAATCCTAAATACAAAATTCGTAATGGCTACAAAAATATACGTAAATGCCATTTTTGATTAGGCTGGATCTTGATAGTAGAGGAAAATTCCCTATTATGAGATAGTAGTTTTTTAATGTCCAAATTCAATCACTAATCTCTTGTGCTACGATTGCACGATCCAACAATCAATTTTCTACTAAACAGATTTCACTCCAAGGGCAATAAATTCATGGTGGAACCAACAGATGATGCTATCTCATATTAGAAGCCTATCTCATACTAGGGGATTTACTTCTAATATTTTTCTATGTAAATTTTATATACTTTTTTTAATTCAGGAATCAACGTGCAATTTAATAAGTTCGAAAATATTATGAAGCTACCGTGATCAATCACGATCAAAAATGGCATCTTTAATTAATTGTAATATGTATGTTTCACTTCTTATTTTTTATTAATTATTCTATAAGGCAAACGATTAATTTAGAATAATGCAATTAATATATTTAACGCCGAACAGAATGGAACAACTTGATTATTACGATTTAACATGCCTCGAAAAATGCAATAAGGTGCCATTAAATATAATCTATGTATAATTTTATAATCAAATGATAAGATATATTGTAGTATATATAGTATTTCCGCTTACGGATTATCAGTGTCCGGATTATAAACAGTACGCCAATAGTCAAATTGTTGCACGGCTCTCATAATGCAATCTTCATGATCGAAGTTACATGCCCATGTTAGAACTTCAATTCGGGTTAAAATTGTCAACTGAGAATCTGTTAATTCGTCAGTAAAACCGACTTGCTTGTATACGTTAGTATCGAGTAGTTTTAATATAAGCGACTAAAAAATATAAAAAATTAGAATATTAAAGTATTATTTATGTTTCATGCTAATCGTATAGAATATTTAATTAATTGTTATTAGTTTTTATAAATATCTATCACTAGCACTCCAGTTTTATAAATACCAGTGAACTCTGTGCTGTGACTAGAATGCTTAGTCAAGTGGGAGAAAATGGTCAGAGTGAGACAGACAAATGGTACCGTCTGTCTCTTTTTAGTAATTCAGATTGGTCAATAATTTTCTATCTCACTATTTCTATCTCACTTATATGTATAAGATGAGTTGATGAAATCGTTGACCAATCAGATTACTAAGAAAACAATAGAAATGGTACCATTTGTTTGACTCACTCTAGCCATTTTCTTAACATGGTAGTAGGCATGCGAGTATAAAATTCATCACTGATAAATACATACCCTAAATTTGTCATAACTTCGTGTGTAAATTAACATGTCGTTCAAATAACTCAAGGCATTGAAAGCTGCTTTCCAAGGCAAATACTCGGTTTCGCAAACCAAGTAACTCGTAACATTAAAAGCAATAGTATAATTGAGCTTGCCAGCTCTAGCCAAGTTAAGAGCGTCATCGATTAATTGCGCTCGATTAATCGTCGAGATATCTTTGAAATTTTGTTTATTCAATTGCTTGATTATCATCTGCCAATTTGCTCTGTCGTAGTTCACTCTGTAGTACCCTGTCACAAAAGCACAACGTATGTATTTAACATCGTATTTATATTTTCATAATTTAAATAAATACGTGGATTGTACTCCGAAAGTTTCCGCAAAATCATATAAAAACATATAATTAATTTCTAAAATCGACTTTACTGTTTTTTTTAAATCACCGCTCTTTTAATACACCTCTTCAATTAAGAATGCTTTAATTTCTTTATAAGTGCAATGGTCTTCTGCAGTAAGTTGCGCACAGTATTAATGTTTTTTGAAGTAACCGCCGCGCCGTGGCAGAACGGACTTCACGGAATTAATCACTCACAATATTCGATACCGCGCTTGAAGTTCGCGCGCCATTCATAAATAGTCTTTTGGGTTGATATTTTCCCGTCAAAACCGAACAAAGACTTTCGACTGCGCACTGTAGTGAAATTAGTGACTTCTTAAAATTGTAAAAAATCACCGCGCGGAAATGTTCTCGTGATAAATCTATTTTCTTTTAAAAGTATCACCTTTGAACATGTTTCATGATTGAACGAATGATTTTTTTATGCGTCAAAAGGCAAAGTGTCATGTGAAATTAGGAGAACTACATATCAAGAATTTTGATGTGACACAACGCTGAACGTCATTTTGTGGAAACTTTCGGAGCAACCTACGCAACAAATAAATCTGTTACTTTCTAAAACATTAATTCTTTATGTAATTCTAAAACAGTTTTACAGAAGCATTAATAAATTCAATCAAAATTATTTTATAATTATTGTTTCCATTAAAAAACTAAAGATAAATAATAAATTAGATTATAAAAGTATTTTTTAATTTTTATCACACAGGAAATTTACATCTTTTTCGTTAATACAATATTTTATTAGAGTATAATTACCAGTTTCTTGCACGTTGAAAAGTACCCACTGAGACGGGCTTACATCCAAATTATTCAGGATGATCGAGCGTTTCGCTTTCATCCATTTCATAGGCCGAGTGTTACTAAAATTTAATTGCTTTTGACTCGTATAAGTAATAGGTATCCACCATAATGATTCAGATTTGGTTGTTGTATCGTTATCGTTTAGCAGAAAACGTTCCTGCAAAAAGCAGACGACACGAATAATGCTACATAAACCTCTTACCCTGGTTTTCACCAACGTCGGTTAACTAACTGATCTTATAGTTTAATTCGTCCTTTTACGGCCTTCAGCTCCTCCGTGCACTTATTGGCTCAGACGGTTTTCTTAATTACGCGATAATAATTACGGATTTTGTAAAATGGTATATAACTTTTCTTCTCAGTTTGACCCAATCTACTATAATCTTTGAAGTGGTCCAAATCGAATCCGACACCCTGTATGTTTTCTTTATCAGTTCCGGTATAAATTATTAAGGAATACGGCTTCATAAATCAGTCTTTACTTTTTTATACTATTATTGTAAACTCTTTTTTTAATTTTTTTATAGTAATATTTCTTTTTGTCTAGATAAGTTTAGAAGATTTATTTTTTAGATAAGTTTATGTCAACAAATATTTTAGATAAGTAATTGTCAACAAATACACCATAAGTCTAGATAAGTTTAAAAGATTTGAGAAAATTTTAAAAGAAGATTTTAGATTTTGAGAAAAATCAAATCATAAATAATTATTTAAAAACAAAACAAACAATATTTTTTTAATAAAGATATCAGAAATGTTGTATCCTTAAAATATTCAGGATATATCTACGAGATATCTCAAATATGACCGATAAAATGACATTTGATTTAAGTCTTAGATATATTTTGCTGTGTGGGTAATTGTAGCGTAATGGAAAGAATGTCAAGAGAATGATTGCACGAGTCAGATGGCTTTTACTTATTAAATTTATTTTAAAATCATACCTTATTGAATTATTATTTAATTTATGATTGTCGAAATACCTGTGTCAGTGTAATATTACTATTGTTGTAATTTCGTACAACAGTAACTACAGGAAAGCCAGTTTGAAGGGTCCACGAATCCATTATATTTTTAACGGTTATGTTTGAGTCAAGTACCTTGTCTTTATGAGCTTGTTTGGTCAAAGCGTACCACAAATCATTTTGCTCAGCATTTTGATAAGCTCTATTCGACAGATATAATTATCGTTAACTATTTTCGCTTTCGCATTATATAAATTTGTTTATAAAATTTTACATACATTTATAATATCGCAAAAATGTTATTGTTAATTATTTATTTCAAGTCTCTTTATATATAACTGACAAAGAACAAAAGTTTTGCCAAATAAAAATAATAAATTATCTTTACTTACTTTTTATTCAAATAATTAGTCAGACCCTTCTTAAAAACTTCTGTTGTAAGAAAATGCTCCATCATTCTTATTATGGAAGCACCTGAGCAATTTTATACATACATATATGTATACACACACACGCAAACACACACATGTAATAAAATTACCGAGATGTAATTGGATTATGACGATTCTAAAGAAATTTAATATAGCTAAATATACGTGTATATGTGTACATAAGATTTCTTTAAAATCGTCATAATCCAAGAAATCATGCTGTACCTTTTTCATAACAAACTTCATCAAAAATTTCATTTATTTCTTCCGGATTGCCGACTTCAATAGATACAGGATGGGAAGATTCCAAAGTATCGAAACCGAAAGAATATTGAATTTTGTCAAAGATAAATTGTTCCATCATATTCCAAGTCGGTTCCACCTGTTTCAAGAATATGGTAAATTTACAATACAATATAGAAAATATATTCAAACGTGTTCAAAGAATTTAATACATTCTAAATTAGAATATATTTCTTAAATTGTCAAATTACCAGCGCAGTGTTATGGTAGCAACTTTGACAATACATACAATATGTAACCTTCTATTAATTGAACTGCTTACCGCATCCGTGCCAATGTACTCCATATAACTAGCGAAACCCTCGTTCAACCAAAGATCCGTCCACCAACTCGGAGTCACTAAGTTTCCAAACCATTGATGCGCGAGTTCGTGAGATACCACGGTGGCTACTCGCTGCTTGCTAACACTGTTCGATATACCTTCCTTATACAACAATGCTGTCTCTCTAGATCGACAAAATAACGAATTAATCATTTTCATATCTTAAAAAATTATTTATGTGTATCTTTAGCACACAACTGTTAAAACAACATTTTTTTATATTGTTTATTGATTGTATAATGAGGAAGCACTGTGCAAATTTCCAATTTCTTTTTATTTTGTTATAATAGTGAAGCAAATTATTAGTCATTAATGAGGATATGATAATCTTACCTATATGTTATTAATCCCCAATTCTCCATAGCGCCGGCGGAGAAATCGGGTAACGCGACCATATCCATTTTTGGCAAAGGGAATTTGATTTTGAAATAGTCCTCGTAGAATTTGAGCACTTTCGGCCCAATATTCAAGCTATATCGTGATTGATTAATAGCATCGTGGCGTGCCCACACACTAAAGTTACCATCTTGCGATTTCCATGCATCGAAGTCGAAAACTATGAAAGCTACCAAGTATGTAGACATCGGTACCGAACGTTTATAATGATCCCACACGTATGTGTTTAAACCGGATCTGATTATTAGAAAATAAAAAAGAAAAAGTTTCTTTCAAAACTCTCCAATGCTCTCTTCATTTAAAAAGTAATTTGTTCTAAAATTTAAGATTTAAAAAATCCACATTAAGTACGTTGTAAATTATTTTGCGTCATCTCTTTTTTTATTTAGAATTTAAAACAGTAGAAACAGTAATTTTTAATTTGTGAATTTTATCAATGCGAAGTCGTAACAGAAATACACTCGTTTTTTTTATAAACTTTATAAAGTACTTAAATGATAATTACTTATGATTATCACTTTAATTACATCAAATTTTACGTTTTAAACATTTTACCCCAAGTAAAAATCTAAATAAAAAATTTAGTTTAATAACAAATTCACGTGTAGCAATTACCAAAAATTATAATCAGGTTTACAAAACGACACTCGCAACAGGTCTCGAAAGTATGACGTGCAATTACTCACACTGGCATCGATTTCCCTTGTCTGGGCATATTCGAAATAGATGTCATGTTCCTGGGACGCGCTATGTTGATTTGGAATTGGGCTTTCAAAGCCGGTTCGTCGAAACATGGAAAAGCACGGCGTGCATTTGTCGGTTCAAAGTGACTCGTAGCAATCCATCTACAATGTAAAAAGCAGTTAGGTTTGGCAGTCGTCAATAATCGACCGTGATTCTTGGGTTAATTATATAAAGTGTCCGGCTAAGATATCCATCCGCTCGTATACTGATAGATTTCGTTAAACTGAACTAAAAAAGTCCTATATTAATTTGCAAACAATCACATAAAATTTTAAGTTGTTAATTAATAAAAATCTACGAATCAGTGTGTTCGCGATTCGGCGAGAAGAGTTAACCAGGTGATTATCGTTGCTACGCGCAAGGCATAGACAGAAACGATATGTAAATAAGTATAACAGCCCAGCGTCATGCATCATTCATGAATAAGCATTGTTGTTTTCAACTTCTCTCAATGTTTCACCACACGTAAGCAACGTAAATAACTGATGGAGTCCGACTCTTGCAGTCAAATCGAATACGGGTGCACGTTAATTCGCAGATCTTCATTAATTAATAACTCAACATTTTACATAGACACAAGATGAAATAGGACTTTTTAGGTCAATTTAACGAAAGCTACCTGTATACGAACGGATAAACACCTTGTGCCGGACATCTGTATATATTAAAATACTCCATCGCAAGACTATTTAAAAGATAATTATTGTTCCACTTTCTAATCAAAATACTTTGCTACAAATAAGTTCGAGTATGAGACAATCCTAAAGGTCAAGAGATTTAGTTTTAAATAATAATTTTAATAACTTCTTCCTTTCTTCTCTCTTCTCGGGAAATAAATTTAATTAATTTTTCCACATTTAAATTTATTTATGTTATAATACAGCCATGCTCTTTTATCTAATTAAATGTTTTGTAGATTAAAATTTGAGATTTCAGCTTTTAAATGAGTTATTAAGCAATTAATGGAATAATAAATAAAACAGCTTTACACAGGTATCCAAAAAAACTTCCTTAGAGACCAATCGAAAAGCCATTTTGCAAAATTCGCAATAGTTATTGTATAATTAACAAAAAAACATTTGAGCGAATGAGCGCACGCGAAACGTTAAGCTGACGACTCACCAGGCACGTAAAATTTATTTGTTAGATCTCGTTTTTGTTAATTACACAACTATTAATAACTATTGCGAATTCTGCAAAATGGTATATGACTTTTCTTTTCAATTTGACCCAATCTACCGTCACTTTTCGGTTGGCCGCGAAAGAATTTTTCCAGACACTACTTCGACCATGAAGTTTCATTGCGACATCGTTTACCTCGTTTGATTGTCGACCTTATTATACGAACTTCTGTAGAAACCCTGCAGGTAGTCGTTCAGATAGCCAATGAACTTGAGATGCACGACGTATTGCTTGCCTTTCCTCAACGTTTTCGATGTTTTAATCACGTGAAATTGCCTAACAGTGTCATTTCTCTGTTCCACGATCCCGATTTCCTCGATCTCGTTGCTCTTATGGCTATTAATAGTCAAGTACTCTCTGATACTTGTAAAGTTTTCATCAATCTTTATATCGACGGCATGCAGCGTAACATTGTTCGTGTCCTTTGTTACGTTTACTAAAATTTTGATCTAAACAAATCAATATTATTTCCATTTCTATAAAATAACGTTTATGAGACAAATTAATAATAGATACGTTTATAATATTTTTTAATTTCCGTGAAACTGTAATTTTTATTATGTACGATATTCTTAATTATCTCATTATGAGACTTGAAAATATTTCAGAATTGTACATAGAATTCTATGAAAATGCATGATTTTTTAAACACAACAGTGGCAATTCGCAAAATCGTCTCAAGCAAGAACAAACATTTCACACAAAAGTATATTGTCAGGTATTTAATACAATATATATTTGCAATGAAAGTTACTCTGTGTGGGATACGTTTGACAATACATTTTTATAAACAGATAAATAACATTTATTTGTTACAAAAAATATCATTAAATTATAAAACATTACCTCGCCGTGAAAAGTAAAGTTGCCCTCCCATATGAAAGGTATTAGCCATAAGTCGTAAAATTTGGGTACGACAGCGGTCGGCAATTTGACATATATGTTCGTCTTATCCGTCAAAGAACCCTTTAAGAGCGTATCGTTATCTTCGATAGCTTCGGGACAAGGTGCAAAATAATACACCAACACACCCGTGACAACCAAGATGATCAGAAACAAAGCGACTATGAAGAAGGCGGTAAATTGGGAAATTGTATAGCTATTTTTACGTTCGAACATGACTGTTTGCGCATCCGCCATCGTCAGAGCTCACACAAGACTGAGTCATGCATGAACCTAGCGAAAAAATATACATGCGCACTTTACAGTTTTATCGCTCCTACAGTTCATATATTATTGCTTATCGTAGTTCGAAAAAAAGTAACATATTTTTGTTTATCTATGCCACGTTGCCAAACTATTTGATGCTTATGTTATATAAACGTGCCTATATATTGATTATTATATGTATAACTATTCATAATTTTAAGGAGTCTTCTGATACATTATATCATCAATTTTTATTGTGTCTCTTTAACATTTACTTACTCACTGCTTGTAATCTTGTTTTGAGACGTTATTTCTTATTGCCACACCGATGGTAAAATATTTTTAAAAAACTTAATAAAAATAAATATCTTCAAAGTCTAAAAAAGCTCCTTTAAAGCCAATAATAAAAATGTAAGTATATAAATTCGATTAACGTAGTAAGAAGTTTCTTGTATAGAAACTACAAGTGTAACATTATGCTGTCATAAATGCTATTGCCAAAAGTAGCATGTACTATTAATTATATAATAGTCTGTATATGCAAAGGTAACAAATATCTACAATAGAGGTCTAAAAAAATAATAACAGTCGCTTTAAAAATGTAATGTATAAAAAATCTAAATGTATCTGTTATTATCTTTGTTAAAAAATAAATATGAAGAAAGGAAAAGAGTGAAGTAAAAAAATATTGAAATCTAGACATCGAATTCTTAAATGCGATAGTACAAAAAAGTCGGTCGAAACATTTACAGAGATAACGCGATATATCGTGCAATTGTGTTGAAACGATATGCTTAACGATATCTTTTTCCCTAATGGTGCAAAAACAGAACGTACCCATTTAAACTTCAACTTTTTGTACTAGTTTCCTTACAATATACTTTAAATAAGTATCACAAATATTTTTATTATGCGTTACGTAAAATTTCTATGTAATATAAAAAATATTATTTTACTCATCATTCTCTTAATATACACAAAAATAAATCTGAAATTTTTCACCAAATACGAATATCTTTTACTTTAATAGAGACACTATCTATTACACATATATGCATTTATTAAAACGTTTAAAATCCTCCCTTCCTCCCTTGTGAAAAAAGTCGTGTAGACGCGAGAAGTGCGCTCTTAGTCGCGCGGTATTGTTGCCGCTTTTCCGCAATGCCGATTGGGTGCGTGTGAAACTGGCATCTCATTTCGTGGAAAATCACTAATTTTTTAGAGTTCTGACTTTCTTTCTAATAGTTCTAGAGTTCCTGATACATTAAGCAAACTGATTTGCTAACTTCACGCTGCAAATCACTTTGTCCCCGGATGATTTCCTAATTATTTCTGCTAGGATTTTTATCGCATGAGAGTTCTACAATAGTTCTAGAGAGAGTTC